GGTCTCTTTTGCATCAAAGCTCAAAAGACAGAGACAAAAAGGACGTTTTCCAGGCACTCGACGCTCCAGGTGGGACCCTGCTCTCGAACCCTCACCCTCAGCCTGTGAACCTGCAGCCACAGGCAGGCTGCCCCCAGGACAGGGTCCTCCCAAGGCACTCATTTTTCTGACTCTTCCCAGGCTTCCTGCCGCTGCCCCAGACATGACAGGCCAACCCCAACCGGAGCCCTCCAGGCTGCACACAGATGCCATTTTCTCTTTAAAAAAAAAAATCTTTTGATTTCAGAAAGGAAGAGAGAGGGATAGACAAACATCCATGATGAGAATCACTGATCGGCTGCCTCCTTCACCCACAACCCGGAATCGAGCCAGGAATGGAACCCGTGACCTTCCGGTTCATAGGTCAGAGCTTAACCACTGAGCCACACCGGCCGGGCCGCACCCATGTGTCATCGCTGTGCCCAGGAAAGAAACAGACGCCTTCGCTGTGGGTTGTTAACTCTGTTATTAACTTACGGTTAGCACTGCATTTGCTCTGAGGGCGTCTTCCTCGGTGCCATGGGTTCATCCGAGGGGCCCCCCCAGCTCCTTACTTACATGTGCACCGCTCGGCTTCCAGGCGAAAACAGTCCAAGAGCCAGGCTCCCGATCTCTTGCGGTTCGGAGGTCCTGGGGCGCCCGGGCTACGTCCCCCGTTCTCGTTGCGATCCTGGGGGGTCTCTGGAGTCTCGAGGGGCCCTGATTCTAAGCTTTTGTATCCACTGGTTAAGCAAAGTGGGAAGCACGCGAGTCTTTAAAAGGTTCCAGGAAGAGGACTGGCGAGAAATGAAGACTCAATGCACAGGGTGCCTCTCCCGGGAAGGGGGTGCAGCGGGGTCTCTGGCGCCTGAGAAGGGCCTTCCTGGGACAACGGGCCACGTGTGAACCCGTCAGAGGATTGGACCAGAGAGACGCTCAGCGTGAACTTCCCGATTCTGATGGTTGTGCCGGAGAAGGCCCTTGTTTATAGGAAATCGCTTCTGAAGTATTTGGGAGGAAATAAATTTAAAATACTTGGTTGGTGGTAGGGTGTCACATGGGTGATGTCAGATCGCTCATGAAGAGAATTCTCTGTACCAGTAACTTGTCTGTAGTTTGCATTGTGATGGCTTAAAAAAAGTTTAAACCTCGTGCAATTCCAGAGATGTCCACAAGGCGGCGCCCTCAAACAAAAAAACTGGTTTTACCAGGTGTACCGGTTAATAATGCAGCTTTTTTTCAATAGTTACTAGTAATGAATTGAAACTTCCCGAAAATGCGTTTTTGGCACGACATTCGACATTTTTAGGCATAAAAATATCTATGATGTTAACACCTTCAGAAAATTTGACATAAGAAGTTTTGAAGCTTGTCAATACAACAAAATAGCACACATATCAAATCCCATACATATCAACACATGTGCACTGGTACTTGTCATTTCGCTTACTGGGTTTTAAAGAAGGTTTTGTATTTGTTTTTTTAAATATGTTATTGATCTCAGAGGGGAAGGGAGAGGGGCAGAGAAACATCCATAATGAGAGAGAACCATCAATCGGGTGCCTCTTGCACCCCCACAACGAGGATGGAGCCCACAACCCGGAATCAAACCAGAAATCAAACCATGACGTCCTGGTTTATAGGTCAATGTTCAACCACTGAGCTACACCGGCTGGACAGCGCCCAAGTGTAATCGCTGTGCCCACGAAAGAAACAGACGCCTTCACTGTGGGCTGTTTACTCTTTATTAACTTAGGGTTAGCACTGTGTTTGCTCTGAGGGCATCTTTCTTGGCGTCATGGGTTCGATCCACCTCTTTGAGGTGGGGGCCCAGCTCCCAGGGACACGTGGGCTTTGTGAGGACTGAGGGTGGAGCCCAACTGAATGGAAACATCCAAGCTCAAGAGAAAGTTTAAGGCAAAGGTTACTCCTGGTCCCGGGAGCCGATATGTGCATTTCCAGGGAAATATTGGGGCTCTCTGTTCACAGGACTCCCCTCGGTGAGAACCGGAAGAGGCAGCTGATCCACACGCCCACACTGGTTTGGCAGCAGGAGGTCCCGCCCGGCGGTCTGGCTTACAGTCTGGGCGGAGGACACCGGCGGCTGGGCCCTGTCACAGGTGGGGACGGCCCGTCCCGCAGGAGGCTGAGGTTGACCTTGGAGATGCTGGAAGCCCAGTGAGAAGGGACGGGCAAGGCCACATGCTTGACGTTCCACTTTGGTTGCAAGATTCGGTAAATGTGGGGGTTCCCAGGCAGGGCCTAGGGGTGCACATTGGGGTCCCATCCCCACAGGTATGCGGCCGGCGGGCTGAGTTCCAGGGGCCGCCACCCAGGGGCCGGCAGCAGAGCTGAATGAAGAGCTTGCACTCACACAGCCAGTTGGACTTCACCATCTCACAGGTCTCCTCTGCTGGGGAGAATAAAGGGGGGCCCAGTCAGATTGGGGGGTGTGGGGCTCCCTGCCCTGCAGTTACTGGTCACAGGCCTGGCTCACAGTGGCTGCAGGTGTGTTTGGCAACGCCTGAGGCCCGCCTCGCAGCTCAGGCAGTTCTCATCGCACCTGACCAGGAACTGACCCGGGACCCACTGGTTCAGAGGTCGACGCTCTAACCATTGAGCAACACCAGCCAGGGCTGAAAAATTTTTTTCCTGCCTCCCCCACCCCACCCCCATGCTTGTGTCCAAGACCTGACACTGAGAGCACCATCAGGCGGTCAGTGTGCTGGCAGTGGGGCTGCTGTCGCACTGGAATGGAACCCGTTAGCCACAGCACGGCCCACAGGTCACGAACAGTGCTTTGCAGGATTTGTGTTTAAAAGGTGCCTTTTTCTTTTCTTCTCCATAGTGGGTAAAACAGAATTAGGTTTATGAGTTTTAAAAACAACATAGGTATTTTTTAAATTGTAAACCTTTTCCAGTTCGTTCCCATGCAGCATTCCTCTGTCCTCACTGGGTGTTAAGGTCCAGGCCGGGCAGGGGTTACTGTGAAGGACTCACTGTCACAGGGCGTCTCCTACCTCAGGGAGGTCAGCGACTTGAGCGACGCCCGCGGGTCCAGGTCGCCCTGTGGAGGGAGAGCAGACCCCCCCCTGAGCCGCTGCGCACGGTGATGCCTGGGAGCGAGGACCATCCTGCTGCCGTCCTTCCCGCTCCGGAGCCCGATGCGCTTCCAGGGAACAAGCTGGTGAATGCACTGGAGCTTCTGCACCCTCCCATCCCGGCCATAACAGCTTCTCCACCCACAGCACCGATGGCTTTAAACAGCGCATTACACACACAGCGAGCTGGCGTGTGGGGCTGAAATGGCTCAGGGCCCTGCACTGTCTGGGAGGGTAGAGGCAACACTGATCACCTTTCAAATCTGACAAATGTGAGCAGACGCCTGTGGTGGCGGCCAGAGGGAGGGGGCGGGGGGAGGTGGCAGAGGCGGGGAACCGGGGCGTCTGTACTGGTGTCAGCAGCAGAAGTAGACACTTGGGCAGCACATCTGTGTGCGTCCCTAGGAGCTAGGAACAGAGCCAGCTGTTCAATAATTAATCTCTAAGGGGCTCCAGGAAAAACGGAACGAAGAGAGAGAGAGAGACGGAGCGCGCAGGAGTGAGAGGGAGCAACGAGGAGGGAAAACATAAAGGAGAGCGAGACAAGTCCGCTCCAGGGAAAGAAGATCCGCCAGGAAGCACAGCGAATGCAGAGCCGGGTCACCTCCCTGGAGGACAGGTTCCAGGCGGATCTAACCCATCACATGATGGGATGAGCATCGACCTAGGAACCAGGAGGTCAGGGTTCCATTCCCGGTCAGGGCACCAGCCCTGGCTCTGGGCTCCATCCCCAGTGTGGGGTGAGCAGGAGGCAGCCGATCAGTGATTCTCTCTCATCATTGATGCTTCTACCTCTCTCCCCCTCCCTTCCTCTCTGAAATCAATATAAATCTATTTTTGGGGTCAGAGTCTTTTGCTGCAGAATTTGAGTGACTAGTTGTGTGCGCCCTGAGATGAGATGGAAAAGGTTGGAAACCGCTGGGCGAGCCCGATGCAAAGCTAGGATCTCACCTGCATGAGAAAAGCGTCCTCCTTTCTCATCTTAGGAGGAAACGTGGAGGTGGCACTGGCAGCGGGGAGGACGCTCAGCCTGGGCAACAGACGCTGCCCCGGCGGCCACTCACCGGATCCTGTTGTTGTTCACCAGGAGGGTCTTCAGTCTCCTCAGCAGCGGGAAGCCGTCCAGCTTCCGGATTTCATTGTCAGAAAAGTCCATCGCATCGAACTGGTATAAGTTGCACCCAGATTCTCGATGACAGGGATCTTATAGCCTGTGAAGCAGAGAGGAAAAAAAGCCACAAGTATTAGTAAAACTAAAAGGCGCTAGAGTACATTAGCAGAATTTCCCAGTAATTTAATTTAAAAAAAAAGCTAGCATTCATTCAGAAAGTGTTTTTTACCTAGGCCCGGCCAGTGTCGCTCAGTGGTTGGCATCAGCCCATGACCCAGGAGGCCTCAGGTTCGATTCCAGGTCAGGGCACATGCCCGGGTTGCGGGCTCCACCCCAGTAGGGGGCATACAGGAGGCAGCTGATCGATGGTTCTCTCTCATCATGGATGTTCCTATCTCTCTCCCCCTCACCTCCTCTAAAAATCCACGGGAAAATATCCTGGGGAAGGATTAACAAGATGAGGCCGGGTAGAAGGACCTGGCTTTGTCCGCAAGGAGTCTAGGCCAGAAGCAGAGGCAGCAGCAGCTGCACTGAGACCCCGTGGTCCCCGTGGGAGCGGATCCCCGGCACAGACTGGACCAGGTCATACCCAAGGCGGTTGCTCTTCACGGTCTTCCTAATCCCCTTCTGATTTACTTCCTAATCCCCTTCTGATTTACTGGAGAGACAGCTGCCTGTCCCTCCGACTGCTGTGTTGTTGTTGCTCATCCTCCCCCTAGGACACATTTCCATTGGTTCTTAGAGTGGAAGGGAGGGGAGAGAAGAGAGAGGGACACATGGGTGGGTCGCCTCCTGCACACGCCCCGACCGGTCCCGATTGAACCTGCAACCCAGGAACCTGCTCTTGACCTCAAATGAACCCCTGACCCTTCAGTCCACGGGCCGACGCTCTAACCACTGAGACACCCGGCCCGGGACAGAGCACTTTCCTTTTCATGAAACTCCGTTTCCTCAGGGTCATTTCCAGGCTGACTGACCACAGTGCTCCCTGCCCCCGGGGATCTCCGCCATCTCTCAAGTCTGAAGGGGGCGGGCGTTGAGGATGCTCATTGGGGTGGGGCCATGGCCGGGAGGCGCACTGTAACCTTCATGGGGTTGCAGCAGCTCCGGATCAGACGGTTCACTGTCTGCGCTGACACGGGGCTGTTTGAGGAGAGACGGTCACCTGGTGACGCGTCTGCGTGAAGGGCCCGGGGCCGCAGACGCTGCTGAGGAAGCGCAGGGGGTCGGTCCTTGCTTCACGGACTTCGCTTTCTCCCTAATGGCCTCGCCCGCCCCGTGTGGCCAGAGCCCCCGAGGGTCTCGGGTTCGATCCCCGACCCGGTCAGGGCGTGTGCGGGAGGCAACAAGGCGATGTGTCTCTCTCACATGCATGTGTCTCTCCCCCCCCTTCCGCTCTCTCTAAAAAGAAAGAAAAAGTAAAGGACCAGCGCGCGCCCCTACCCTCGCTCTGACGCTATCACTTTAACGTGTTTCCTGGGAACCAGCCGCTCGCGCTCGAGCAGATCAGACTGAGAAACGGCCCCACGAGGCCGAACCGAACGCAGGCCCACGGATACGGGTCGGGCAGCGATCCGGGTCCCCGTGCCCCGAGCCGGCGGTGCACGGAGCCTCCGGGATGGTCCTCCGCCCCGCCCGCCAGACTCGGGCCGGGGCGGCCCAGGTGCAGCCCGCCCACTGCGGGGCGCACACGACAGGCCCGCGGGCCCAGCGCCAGCCCCCGGCCCCTCCCCGGACTCACCCTGTAGCTCGCGGTCCCGCACGGCGTTGGCGTCTGCGCCGCCTGCTCGATCAGCTCCGCCGTCAGCTTCACCATCCTGCCGCCTCCCTGCTCCCGCCCCGCGGCGCCCGGGGCTCCCGCCAGACAGTCCTCCCGGCGTGGCTCAGGCCAGTCACCAGACACACTTCCCTTTGTGACCCGCGCTGGCCGGCGAACGACCACTACACGGCGTGCCCGCGCGCCGCAGACGACCACTTCCGGGCGACCGGAACTCCTTCTGACACACTTCCGGACTAGCCCCGGCCCACCTGTAGACTCACCTCCCGGCATGCCCCGCGTAGACGACAGACGCACCTTCCGGCATGCCCCGGGTCGACGCCGACACACTTCCCGGCGTGCCCCGCGACTGACGCCAGACGCACTTCCCGGCATGCCCCGCGTATACGCCAGACACACCTCCCGGCATGCACCGGGTCGACGTCGACACACTTCCCGGCGTGCCCCGCGACTGACGCAAGACGCACTTCCCGGCATGCCCGGCGTATACGCCAGACACACCTCCCGGCATGCACCGGGTCGACGTCGACACACTTCCCGGCGTGCCCCGCGACTGACGCAAGACGCACTTCCCGGCATGCCCTGCTCGCCGCTAGCCTCACTTCCCGCGTGCACCGCGCCGACGTCGACACACTTCCGGTGTGCTCGCGCTCAACACCAAGGTACACATCCCAGCGTGCCTTGCGCCCTCAAACAGGCAGCGTTAATTGATCGGGCCGACATACTATCCACGCTCGCCGCTCGGCGCCCAGGCCGAAACAATCGAAGAGCCAGGCTCCCGATCTCTTGCGGTTCCGAGGTCCTGGGGCCCCCGGGCTACGTCCCCGGTTCTGGTTGCTATTCTGGGGGATCGCTGGAGTCTGGAGGGGCCCTGATTCTAAGCGTTTGTATCCGCTGATTAAGCAAAGTGTGAAGCACGCGAGTCTTTAAAAGGTTCCGGGAAGAGGATTGTCGAGAAATGCAGATTCAATGCACAGGGTGGCTCTCCCGGGAAGGGGGTGCAGCGGGGTCTCTGGCCGCCTGCGAAGGGCCTTCCTGGGACAACGAGCCACATGTGAACCCGTCAAAGGATTGGACCGTAGAGACGCTCAGGGTTAATTTCCTGATTCTGATGGTTGTGCCGGAGAAGGCCCTTGTTTATAGGAAATCGCCTAGGAAGTATTTGGGAGGAAATAAATTTAAAATACTTGGGAGGTGGTAGGGTGTCACATGGGTGATGTCAGATCGCTCATGAAGAGAATTATCTGTAGCAGTAACTTGTCTGTAGTTTGCATTGTGATGACTTAAAAAAAGTTTAAACCTCATGCAATTCCAGAGATGTCCACAAGGCGGCGCCCTCATAATGAGTTTTCTGTAGTTTGCATTGTGATGACTTTAAACAAACCCGCTGCAATTCCAGATATGTCCACAAGGCGGCGCGCTCAGCCCACACAACTGGTTTTGCTTGCCATTCCGCTAGTTGGGGTTTAAAAAGGTTTTGTGGGGGTTTTTTCTTATGTTATTGATCTCAGAGGGGAAGGAAGAGGGTCAGAGTGAAACACCAATTTTGAGAGAGAATCATAGATCAGCAGCCTCATGCACACCCCACACCCGAGATGCAGCCCCCAACCGGGGCATGTGCTTGACTGGGATTCCAACCGCGGGACCTCCTGGTTCATAGGTCGACACTCAACCACTGAGCCACACTGGCCGGAGGGTATTCTGTTGTTTTAATGGTCTCCTCTGCAATTAAAGCTCAAAAGAACAGAGACAAAAAGGACGTTTTCCAGGCACTCGAGACTCTGGGACGGCCTCTGCTCTCGAACCCTCACCCTCAGCCTGAGAACCTGCAGCCACGGGCAGGCTGCCCCCAGGACAGGGTCCCCCAAGGCACTAATTTCTCTGCCTCCTGAGGTGCCTCCTCTAGGCTTCCTGCTGCTGCCCCACTGACCTGACAGGCCATCCCCAACCGGAGCCTTGCAAGTTGGACTCAGCTGGCACTGTTTTGTTCCTTTTAAAAAAAAATATATTTTTTTTATTGATTTCAGAGAGGAAGGGAGAGGGATAAACATCCATGATGAGAATCACTGATCAGCTGCCTCCTGTACCTCCAACCCGGAATCCAACTAGGAATCGGACCCTTGACCTCCCGGTTCATAGGTCAAAGCTCAACCACTGAGCCACACCGGCCAGGCAGCACCCACGTGTAATCGCTGTGCCCAGGAAAGAAACAGACGCCTTCACTGTGGGCTGTTAACTGTTATTAACTTTGGGTTAGCGCTGCATTTGCTCTGAGGGCGTCTTTCTCGGTGTCATGGGTTCGATCCACCCCTGCGGGGGGCCCCCCACTGCCATACTCGGGAACCGATCTCTTGCGGTTTGGAGGTCCTGGGGCGCCCGGGCTACGTTCCCGATTCTGGTTGCGTACTTGGGGGGGTCTCTGGGGTCTGGAGGGGCCCTGATTCTAGAAATCGCCTAAGTATTTGCGAGAAAAAATATTAAAATGTTTGGGCGGTGGTAGGGTGTCACATGGGTGATGTCAGATCGCTCATGAAGACAATTCTCTGTACCAGTAACTTGTCTGTAGTTTGCATTGTGATGACTTAAAAAAAGTTTAAACAAACCTCATGCAATTCCAGAGATGTCCACAAGGCGGCGCCCTCACACCACAAAACTGGTTTTATCAGGTGTACCGGTTAATAATGCGGATTTTTTTCACTCGTTACTAGTAATGAATTAAAACTTCCCGCAAATGCTCTTTTTGGCACGAAATTCGACATTTTTAGGCCTAAAAATATCTACGATGCTAACACCTTCAGCAAATTGGACATAGGAAGTTTTGAAGCTTGTCAATACAACAAATTAGCACACATGTCAAATTGCATATATACCAACACATGTGCACTGATACTTGTCATTCGCTTGCTGGGTTTTAAAAAAGGTTTTGTAGTTTTGTTTTTTAAAATATGTTATTGACCTCAGAGGGGGAGGGAGAGGGGCAGAGAGAGAAACATCAGTGATGAGAGTCATGGATGGGCTGCCTCCTGCACCCCCACACCCAAGGCCTGTGCCCTGACTGGGAATGGAACCCCG